ATTAGCTCATCTTTTTTTCGGATGGTAGTGTCTCGCACTTTCAACGCCTCCCTGGCAGCCCCTAACTCCTCCCTGACAGCATCATTGGCCTCTACTAGCACCTCGTACTCCCTTTTCATGTTCCTAAAGGAAGCCAGAGCATCAAGGGACTTTCGGTTCTCCTCGATCCAGTCATCGATTTTTGACTGGAGGTCTTCCTTAGTCTTGCTGAGCTCCTCTTGTTTGGACTTGGCAAGGGAAGACTACTGCTCCACTTGCTCTTGCAACTCTTTTACCTGGACCTTAAGGTCATTATTCTCAAAGGCCAGATTAGCACACTTCAGCTCAAAAGCTTTAGAAGCATTGGTCGATCCCTCTGGGGCTTGGATTCGTTTTAACAAGCTGCTTATTTGAATGGCGGTCTGAAGACAAGCATGAAAGATTAGTGTAAAGGGAAGAGCGCAAGACAACCAAAGAAAAAAAAAAGTAAGAATTTGACAAATTAGAATCTCACCGAGGTACAGCCATACAGCGCAGTGAAAACACAGGTTCCTAGGGGTATAGAAATGGCTGCGTCAATGTCAGACTCTGAGATAATGGAGGTAATAGCCTCTGCAGCACCCTTCACATTGATAATAAGAGAATTCTCAGACTTCCAGAAGACCCCTTTGCCTGTCATGAGAGGTTGGGAGGTCTCCTTGGTTGATGCAGAAGCAGCACGACCAGGGAAAGTGCGAGCAGTCTCCAGGGCCCTTTCAACTTCAGATGTAGAAGGGGAGGACTGGTCTTGCCTAAGAGCATCTTCAGTGGAAGGTCGGGTCCCTTGGGGGAAAGAAAATCCTGAGATTGGTGAAGCATGTAAGGGAGATGGTGGAGCCTTCTGAATAGAGGCAGAGGCACATGACGTACCCTTTTTCTGAACCTTAGCTCGAGTAACTAAATTCCCACCATAACTACCCTCAGCCTTGCGCTTGGTATCACCCTTGTTTTTCTTCTTCAATAGCTCTACCTTAACTTGGAGCATCTCAGGGCTAGGCTTCATTATAGAAGACCCTGGGAGATTTGGCTTGAGCTAGTTAGTCAAAAGGAAAAAGAAAGGGAGGAAAGTAATGAAACCAAATAAGGGAAAGAGCATTACCTTCTATGTCCTCAAGTCAGATAAAGGAAAATGGGATTGGAGGAGGGCCGAATCCCTGCCTTTCTAATTCCTAGGGCTTAAGGAGCTCAGAGTATCTCTCTGGATTACACTTAGACAACTTCAGTTTCACCCGCTTGTCCTCGGCGCTGAGTTCAGGTCGAATGCCTAAGAAAGGGGGAACACCAAAAGTGCAGAGGTCAGGAAAACAACTCATAAATCTTCAAACCGTAATTTAGTCAGGCAAGAACTCACCTAAGTTATTTGGGGCTGACTAGGCTCTGGGAATCTCAAGAGTGTCTGTTTTATCAGCAGGGTTGTATTCCCAGTTGACACCCCCAACGAAAAAGAAATTATTTTTTTAGCCTTTATGAGAACTCGGGAGGTGTGTGATGATATGCCTAGACAAGGTCCTCCTAAAAACATATAGAAAGCCCTTAGTTGAGGTAAGCTTGACATTGAAAAGGTCCATAAGCAGAGAAATGGTGGGAGTCCCAAGCCCATGTTTCTTAAAAAAAACTAAAAGACCTACTAAAACACCCCAGAAGTTAGGAGAAAGCTAAGCAGGGTAGACATTGAGGTGCTGTAGAACATTTTTGATGAAGGGGTGCATAGAAAAACGAAGGCCATTCTCGAAAGCGGCCACAAAGAAACACATTTTTTTTTGCACTTGGGCAACGTATGGGGTGAGTTTATCCGGGTACCAGGGTTGAACACCAGGGAAAAAATCAAAATGAGCACTAAGAGCTTCCATGAGAATAAGATCCACCCCACTAGGACCCACGAGCTCAGCATGCCTGAAGGCAGCCCCCATACCCGCTGTATTATCAGGAATCCCAACCTCACTCACCTTGCCCTTACCCTTGTCAGCATTAGGAGGTACATGAGAGGAAGATGAGGGGAGTTCATTGGAGTCCACCTCTGTATCGACAGCCTCAACACCGGGAAGTTGTCAATCTCATCACCTACATCTCCTAAATCAGAATCTCTCTAGGTAGACCTGTTGCCTAGGAGGGAAATAGAGGAGAGAGTTGCTCTGGAGGAGGCAGACATGATTGGCAAAGAGAAAGACAAATTGAAAGAATTATAAAAATGAGGAATACTAACTAAACACCCCCTGATAATTCTAGGGTCAACACTGTACCTCTCGACAATAAGAATTCGCACAGTGGAGTTTCAATCCACAAAGCGGGAAAGAGGAGATAGGCAACGATTGCAATTCCAAAAGAAAAAAGAACCAAAAAATCCAGAAAAATAATAGCCACCTCGAAGTTGAGGGATCCAAAGTGAGGAAAGGTAAAAGAAAGGGAAAGGGGCAGAAGGAAGCGTACCTAGACAAGGAAGAGAGCAAAAAATAACAGCCAAAGAACAAAATTAGAGGAGAAGAGCAAAGCAGGACTTCGAGTCGAACCCAGAAAGCACAGTTTTGAGCACAGAATAAGAGAATCACGTGGAGAAAAACTCAGAAATCGCAGAGAGAAAGAGCCGGAGACAAAGGTGAACAGCGTAGAATATGAACATGGAGTTTTGAGCGATTTTTTGAGCATTCGATTGAGCATTTAAAGTTTGAGTGACGTGGACTGAAATATGCATGGGAATCGAGGAAGTTATGATTGCTGTAAACCGTCAAAGAGCCCCCCCACGTGCATCTCACATGCGGACTAAGGTTAGCTAGGTGCAGGCCTGGTCCAATACAAAAACAGCTTAACCCATGCCTAAGCTCGCTTGGGCCAAGGGCTGGGGGGCAACTGATGATGCCTAAAATAAATCCCCAGTGTTAGCTCAGGAGTTCAGCTCAGACCGAGAGGTCAACCATATTAACTGAGGTCAGAAGGCAAGGGCTGAATGTCTCTTGAGGCAAGACAACGACTAGATAACCACGAGAGGTTCCTAAAGCGTTAAGAAGCTATAATCAAGACACCTAATCTCAACCAACCAAGATCTTCTCCTAGAATTAAGGAGAATTCCACGAAATAAGGACAAGAATCTCGGCCAAAATCCCACTAAATAAGGAACAACCCTATAAATACTATGTAACACCCCCAAGGAGGGGAGAGGACCCTAGCGGCAAAAATTAGCAATTGTACTCTTGCAATCATCATTATTAAAAGACAAGGAGCAAGAGTCTCCATTAAAGAATGGATTAGCCGAGTTCCTGAGCTGGTGAACCACTATACTTCTATATTAATCCTCCCAGTCCCTAGAAAAACATTTCTTTCATTATCACAACATCATCACTGCAAAGCATAATTACGATTCATTACTCATACAATTTAATTTACACCATCAAATTTCTTAAGAGATGAGAGTATATATATATCCGAGTAACAAAGTAACGAGCCTAGTCTCTACGAGATAAACTGTATGCATCCAAGTAATGTCACAAAATTGTATGGTCATCAAAATATTGGTACCCTGTTGGAAGTTTCAACTATCCTTCTAAACCTATTCAAAAAAAAAAAAAANTTTTTCCTTTTCTGTCTTCATTCTCTTCTACATACCTATGTACCTTCACTTTCCAGGCTAGAAAATTCAGGATTTTCATTGACGATGACTCGTGTATTTGAATTAACTAATGATCATTTTTTTACCATTTACCATAGAAACGGTCTAATTATTTTCGAATAAATTATATTTTATCTCTTTGAAATATTACCTTTATTTCACTTTATACATTTAATTATAAAATTTTTCACATTATACCTTAAAATATCACGTTATATCTTAAAGTATTAATTTTATTTCATATAACTCAAATAAATAACGACTGTCAATTTTTTTTACAGTAAATGAGTAATTTGTACTATCAATAAACTATTGACTATTGCACATGTGTAGGTTAAAAATTAAGAAAAATTGACAGTCGTTATCTATTGGAGTGATATGAAATAAAATTGATATTTTAGAAAATAATATGAGAAATTTTATAGTTGAGGGTAAAAAGTAAAAGAAAGGTAATAGTTTAAAAGGGAAAAGTGTAATTTACCCTTTTTTTTTTGCTGAACCCACCAAAAGGGAGAAACTTGGGCCGGCCTAATGTTCAGAATTGGGCTGATTAGATGGGCCTTGAATTACTGAATTTTGTTTGAAGATGTGGGTTGAATGAAGTAGGTTAAGCCCAGAAGAGTTAAATAAGAGCGTTTCAATTGTTTTCGAAGGTGCGTGCTTTGCATGAAATTGATTTTGAGGCGCCCCACGCCACAACAGTTTTCTTAGCCAGTAGCTACGCTTCTTTGTAGCACTTGTCAATTGCGTTCCCCTCTTTTGGCGATGCATATGCTAAAGCACTAATGCTAAAGTGGTTGTGATTATTTCCTAATATATAGGGACACAATACAACTGGATACACCCACCCCCACGCCCCACTCCCACTATCGTACCCTTCTTACTCTGCTCAGCTGAATTATTCATCAATGCAAAAAAGGCGAGTGTCACTTTTCCAATAGCATGTCCTAAATCCTAGTCTACCACGTTGGTTGGATTTACAGTTATTACACAATTTTGGTGACACAGGTACTTCGGGCATAGTACCTAACAGTATCACGTTGTTTGTTAAACTCTCTGTAACGTCTCTACATTTTACTCTAAAAATGCGGGCCAAGACTCTTCTTATATAGCCTCTTGATGTACTAATGCTGGAAGAATCAAACTTAATCAAATTGTCTTTTTTTGAACCTATCATTATTCACTCACCAGCCTCAGAAAAACTTTGAGAAAGGAGACAGCCAACTAAACTAGCTTCATGGATCCCAATGATCTGATTCACGTATTCATTAACGTAGCAATATGGCCTTTATTTCTCGTGGCTCTGTGTTTAATCCTACCTCCTTTCTTCATTTTTAAGTACATCATACATGCAATCTACAAGTGTCTTTCGAAGGAGAACATGAAAGGAAAAGTTGTTCTCATCACTGGTGCTTCATCAGGAATAGGGGAGGTTCATAACAATCTTTCCGAAATTTCCTTCTTTTTTTTTTTTTTTTGGTATTCATGGGGCTGATTGTTTTGCATTAAATTTGAATATGCAGCAAATGGCTTACGAATATGGCAGAAAAGGAGCTGCACTGGTCATAGTTGCCAGGAGGGAGAACAAGCTACAAAAGGTTGCCGAAAGAGCTCGTGGGCTTGGATCTCCGGATGTTCTTCCTATTTGTGCTAATGTAGCCAATGTTAATGAATGCAAGCGTTTTGTAGATGAAGCCATCAATCACTTCGGCAGATGTAAGATTTGAATTTTTTTATTTATGCACCTACATAGTAATTCACATGTCTTCATCTGTTGTTCATTGAAAAATTTTGTCCCAATATGTTCAAACTTCAACTCACTAATGTGTTATAGAAAATGATCGAATACCCGTCATCAATATAGTTATTGATGTAAGTAGGAATGAGAATTCAATTACAAATTACTCTTGCCTTGGCTTATTCAATCATCTTTTGGGAGGATGAGAATTTTTTTAGACAAACTATGCGGACACATTCTGATTTTTTTTAGTAAAATGTGCTCCTGAATATGCAAATTTGACCGTAGAGGGAAGTCACTATGATGCAACAATTTGGAAGTTCGCAAAGAATGCCTGAATTTGAACGTAGAGGGAAGTCCCTGTGATGGCTAAATAACCACGCATTGCTTAGCTGCTTTTCATATTCCTACATTATTTCAGAAAAAAAATCTTATTTGCAGTGGATCATCTGGTGAATAATGCGGGAATTGTCAGTGTCTGCCCAGTTGAAGATGCACCTGATATTACAAATTTTAAGCCTATATTGGTAATCCTTTCCACAGAATAGTACTTATTCCTTGTTTCGCCCATTTTTTTGGCTAGAGTTTTTAAATATACTTAGTTTTCCTTTATTTCAAGCCTCCAGGATGTGAACTTTTGGGGGTCTGTTTATCCAACTTACTTTGCAATTCCTCACCTCAAAAAAACAAGAGGAAAGATTGTTGTAAATTCATCATCTAGTGCGTGGTTGCATCCACCAACAATGAGCTTCTACGGGGTAAAGAATCACATATGTCCCATTTAACCTGAATATGCTATATCTCTGTTTGAAGCGGTTCTTGTGGTTTTCAGGCAAGTAAAGCAGCATTGATAAGCTTCTATGAGGCAATGAGAGTTGAATTGGCTCCTGAAATAACAATAACCATTGTAACTCTCGGATTTATAGACTCAGAAATGTCCCAAGGAAAACAGTTATCCAAGGAAGGTGTTGTTCAAGTGGATCGAAAACTGAGAGATGTAAGATATATTGCTGTTTAAGTTTTAGTACAAAAATTACTATTTCTCATGCTTGCACAAGTGGATCATAATATAATTTGTATCCATCATGAGATGGATTTTCAGATTATCGATTGATCAAGTAACAGTTGTGTTACAGGTTGTTGTTGGGGCAATGCCAGTGATGAGTTCCAGCACTTGTGCAAAATCCATTGTTGAAGCCTCATGCCGGGGAGAGAGATATGTGACCGAACCAAAATGGTTTAGTGTGTTCATCATGCTAAAGAGTTTGTGCCCCGAACTGGTTGAGTTGTATTACCGGACCTTTCACTTCAAGCCAATCGTTTCAGGGAGAAATGTTACCAACAATATGGTAACTCCGCTGCTGCTGAATAAAGCAGACTAAGCTTTTGATATGTTTAGATGTTCTAAGTGAATTTCCTTTTGGGTTTCCAGATTAAGTGTCAGATAATGAAGTTGATGTGTNAATATGGTAACTCCGCTGCTGCTGAATAAAGCAGACTAAGCTTTTGATATGTTTAGATGTTCCAAGTGAATTTCCTTTTGGGTTTCCAGATTAAGTGTCAGATAATGAAGTTGATGTGTCAACAATAGTAGGCAAATTAGAGAGTTCAATTCCTCATGGGTATGAATGCATCCCATTTCAAGGAGCATTTTAGTTTTGCAGAGACATTCGTTGTCGTAGTAGGATTTTGATACATAAAGTGCTTGGTGTTCGCAAATAATTTTATGGCATGCAGGTTTTATGAAATGGTTACACAAAGTNTTAATGCATCCCATTTCAAGGAGCATTTTAGTTTTGCAGAGACATTCGTTGTCGTAGTAGGATTTTGATACATAAAGTGCTTGGTGTGTTGGGATTTCACACGATTTAAATCCACTAACAAACACACACAAGCAATAAGAAACAAGAAAGAACAAGACACAGATTTTACGTGGTTCGGCAATTTGCCTACGTCCACGAAGCTGCAGGGATTTCACTATTGAGAGAGTTGAATACAGAGAGCGGCTGTACCATCCACAATTAACCCTAATCACCAAAACAACAGGGTTTATATGTCCTACGCACTGGGTTGTATAACGGGCTCAAGCCTTCGCTCCATGGACTAAGCCTCAGAAAATTTTCCATTAAAAACCACACAACATTATTTCGGGTCGGGTCATCATCCGGATCGCATATACAAACTAGACTCCATAAAAAAAACCAACATGGTGTTCGCAAATAATTTTATGGCATGCAGGTTTTATGAAATGGTTACACAAAGTCACTCAAATCTTAAGCTAACACAATCTTTAATTGTGATCTTCATAATGATCACAACTAGCCAGAAATAAGACAAAGACTTCATTCTTTTTCAGAACGTTAACGAATATGACGATCAATACATCAGAACACCAGTTTGGACTGAACCAACCTCCCCCATTCCATTGCGAGGCATTCACAAACATAGAAGAGCTTTTGTCCCTATCTCCCGATTAGTCTGTGGTACAGGTTGTTATTTGTTTCCAAGTATAATGTCTCGTTGAGAAATATTTCCACGTATGGGAGGGGCCCGAGTTGGAAATCAAGCTAGTAAGCAAGATCACATATTAAAAGTTGATTTGCATGAGGACACCATAATCATCAAAATTAATATTAATAAAAGTTATTGGATAATGACACCACGTACCAATGGTGACGTGATGGCACAATTAAACCCAATATTTAGTCATTTCCCCGGTGTATATGTCATGTGTTGGATAAGAAGTTGTGGCAAGTGGCAATAGTTTTACGTGNGCACCAATGGTGACGTGATGGCACAACTAAACCCAATATTTAGTCATTTCCCCAGTGTATATGTCATGTGTTGGATAAGAAGTTGTGGCAAGTGGCAATAGTTTTACGTGTCAACCGGACCCAGCTCCTCATCAAAGAAGAGGGTTTGTTGAAGTAGTTAAAAAACTAATCTTTATCCAAATATGATCTGAGATCGAGTTTCATCAACTGCATCGTCTGCCCCATTGCCTTAATTTGTTCCTCGCCCCACCATATGTTGTTTATGTCATTTTAATTGGTTTGCCTTCCACCTTTCATTCGCCTATTCACCTCTATAGACATATGTTGGTGGGCAGTTAAATTATCCCTATCATTTTATTTTTGACAATAATTAATGTGAATATTTCATAGGAAGAATTGTATCCAACATGGTGAGTGCTGATGGAGAGAGACTGGCGTTGATCAGAGTTACCAGAATCTGATAGTGTGTCTGCCATTGCTGATATAGCTGATTTATCACAGATGCACACTGAATTATGCCATCAACGTATCCNCTGATAGTGTGTCTGCCATTGCTGATATAGCTGATTTATCACAGATGCACACTGAATTATGCCATCAACGTATCCTAGTAAAGAATGAGCACACAAGATTGCTGTGATTTGGTACTTGTAGTTGACGAAATTAGAAGAATCCAATCTTATAGAAATCGTATTACGGATGTTGGAGAATAATAAAATTGGAGATTGCGAGACAGAATTTAGAGAAATGGAAGAAGAAGAAGCAGTGGTAGATGTAGAATTTGTTGAAGCTGAATAAGAATTCATTCTTGTTGAGACACAGATCTCTTTTCACAGCTCTAATACCATGAAGAATGTCAAGAACAGAAGCTATAAACACACACCAGAAGAAGAAAAGTTGAAGAAGAAGACGACCTTTGAAAACATAGGGTGAATATCTCATTTCATTATTATGTAAAGTGCTTAACCAAGAGTATTTATAGTGAATCACATGATACCTCTATCATAGTGTGATAAATTGTAGTATTTCCATTCAGGATTCAAATTTAAATTCAAATTTGAGTAAAAAATTTGATTTAATATAGAGTATTCAAATGGATAAATTCAAATATCTATTCAAATCTTTTAAAAATTGTCCAAAAACTCATTTTTTTATATCATTCAAATCATGATATTTGATAAAATAAATGAAACTTTCATATCTCTCCATAAATAAATAATTCAAAAAAATGAATATATATATACAACACTACATGAGAATAAAGAAACTATCTTATAATTCTAAAATTGTTCTAATTCCACATAATTTTTTATAAATCCAAATAAAGAAAAAGGGAAAAAAATATAATTATTTTGACATGGGTTCAGGATAAGTTTGAGTTTGCTTTACTTTGGGTCTAGNGTGCTTACCAAGAGTATTTATAGTGAATCACATGATACCTCTATCATAGTGTGATAAATTGTAGTATTTCCATTCAGGATTCAAATTTAAATTCAAATTTGAGTAAAAAACTTGATTTAATATAGAGTATTCAAATGGATAAATTCAAATATCTATTCAAATCTTCTAAAAATTGTCCAAAAACTCCATTTTTTTATATCATTCAAATCATGATATTTGATAAAATAAATGAAACTTTCATATCTCTCCATAAATAAATAATTCAAAAAAATGAATATATATATACAACACTACATGAGAATAAAGAAACTATCTTATAATTCTAAAATTGTTCTAATTCCACATAATTTTTTATAAATCCAAATAAAGAAAAAGGGAAAAAAATATAATTATTTTGACATGGGTTCAGGATAAGTTTGAGTTTGCTTTACTTTGGGTCTAGAATAAGTTTCATTTTAATTTGATATAAATTTAAGTGTAAGGTTGGAAAAGTTTTTTAAGCAATTTTGACTCAAATTTAAATTTGAGTCTATATGTATTTATATCTATAATACTTATAAATGTCGGTCTCTGCGAAAAACTTTTGATTTCTTATTTTATCCATAATTAATATAATAAAGTTAATTATATCCACATATATACTTTCATCTAATTTTTATTTTTTATTCTTATTTGACTTTTAACTTATTTTGGACTCTTTTATAAGGACTGACAAATTCTTTTGAACTCATTTATTAGTAGTATAGTTACATATAAAAAAAAAAAGTAGTTACATACAATTTTTTAAATCTATATGAAGATGAGAAATCCTATATATATTAAATTATTTTTGATTTTCTATTTTATTCCTAATTATTGTAATAAAATCAATTATACTCACCTATATATTTTTATCTAATTTTTTATTTTTTTACTCCTATTTGACTTTCAACTTATTTTGAACTCTTTTATAAGAACTTCTAAATTCTTTTGAACTCATTTATTAGTAGTACAGTTACATACAATTTTCTATATTTATACGAAGAAGTAAAGTCCTAATTAGCTATTAGGACACAAGGTAATTAATAATTCTGTAATTAGGTATTAGCTCCTCAACCGACTTCAACTGACTTTCATAGCTGGGCTTTCCCTGTGATGAATCATTACTGCAAATAGGTTAATAGTTGTATCATTTATTGACAGTCTTAAAACATCTTGGTCTCAAATTTTCAAAGAAATGTCAAGAATGGCCTGATTATTAATGTATTACCTTGTTGTAGGCATGGAGTGATGAGATTAGATACACGTCATTAACTAGAATAGTTTCTCAAGAGATGAGGGTAAATATCTGAGTGTCAAAGTAATTAACCTAGTCTCCGAAGAGATAAAATTGTATGCATCAGAGTGTTGCCACAAAATTACGCCGGTATCAAAACGTAGGTATCCTGTTGTAAGTTTCAGCTATCCTTCTAAACAATACGGTTATACCGAATAGGGGAAAGCACCTTGTGTTCTTTCCGATTGCTTTTTGGAGCATGCAGATGCACTGATCTACCCTAACTTGTTCACGGGGGCTTGTTTATCGTGCTGACTATATCCTTTTTTTTTATTCGTTTGAATGAAGGTGAATCAAGTCTACAACATTTTCAGAATTCCAATAGTAGTACAAGATATGTAAGAATTTAGTGCTTTCTTACAATAAGCTTCGTGCTATCTTTTCTGGCCATGAATTTTTTTTTAAATATCCCTAATTGTGATATTACTTCTTTGACTAATCATAGCATGCCAGATATATTTATGCTATCGGAGAATTTATAAATATTTCCTCATAAAGAGTTTATTCTCTTTGTTTCTTCTAGATGCTTGAAGGATCAAGATTTGTTACCCACTTAGCTGGTTGGCATGCGGGTGCCTCAGCCCCTTTAGGGGTGGCAATTTTTGACACGATACGATAAATCCAACACGAACACGATACAAATAAATGAGTTTGGGTTAGTGGGTCGTGTTCCGATTCAACTCACTCTACCTGAAATTGACCCAATTAACCCGTATATTTAATCGGGTTGACACAAACCCGCTTAACCCGTTTTTCAACTCAAGTAACCCAACACAATATAAATGCATTTAGTTGTTGGATCCCTAACCCTAAATTCATTTCACATCTCATACCTCACATTTACTCTGCTTCTCAATCGCCTCTCCATCCACTTCGCTGGTGGTCACCACCGCCTCCGTTTCGCTTTCGTAGGCCCTCATTGACCACCGCCAAACCACCAACTAGACCAGGGTCTCTCTTTCTCTCTTTCACACACACAGAGATCTGCACACAAATTTGGAACCGATCTTCGAATTGGTTCTTCTCTCTCTTTTTCTCTGCATATATATATATGTATATGTGTGTGTGTGTGTGTGGAGTTTGATTTGTGTTCGATTTGATTTGACTGTACTTATGAGTTAACCAAATGAAGAGATGATGTGGGAGGAGTTGTGATGATTATGTGTGATTGGTCTCATTCGTCACAGCATTCATATCTTTATACATGAAGATGTTGTTCCTTCTCTGATACGAGATTGTGGGTGCTGCCAAGATGTTATATATGTGTAAGCATATGTATGTATATCTATGTATGTGCTAAAAGTTGACATGAGGGGATCAATTGATGGTCAGAAGCATAGTTCAGATGATAATCTATATGATTATAAGTTTTGAATGTCTTTCGCTCCTACTTGATGAAGCCAATTGTACGTATTGCTTGCACAAAAATCAAATTTTTAGTATTTGTCCTAGGGACACAACAGGTTTGGTTTCTAACGAGTCTTTTTGTGTAGAATTTTATGGATTGGATCGTGTCGGGTCGAGTTGTATTAGGTGGGTGGGTCGTTTTTACTCGGACACGACCTGTGTAAATTTTGGGTCACGGGTTATGTCAGGTTAGTCATGTTTTGAATCAGGTCATGTTCGTGTCCAAAATACCTAACCTGTTTAACTCGCAAGTCATGTTTGGGTTGATATGTCTTGAATCCAAACTTGATTTGACATGATACGACACGATTGACACCCCTAACCCCCGTGCCTTAGCCAAAGTGGGGGTGTGGCCAAGCAACTCCTTTGTGCAAAGTTGGCTTCCTAAGAACTTGGTTGGATACTTGGTTTGGTGTCAAAGGTATTCGACAAAAGTTCAAGTGACATGCAACAACTATGCCCCGGACTCTCGTTGTTATGACTCTTCGGTTTGAAAGATGTCGGTTGTTGTCACTAAGGTTTTGCTCACTAAGGCTATTATAGAGGGGGGTGCTTCGCAAAGAGGTGCCAGACTGGCTTTCCTAGAGACCCCTATGCCCCCTAACCTTGGCACCCCAAAGTAAAGCACGATCTTAACAAACATTTGCCATGGGGGTAGGCAAGGCATTCCAAAGTTCAAGACCCGAGATATGGGATTGATGTTTGGTAGGACTCATCGTTTATGTAAGCCTCATGCATGGTTGAGGAAGGCAGCACATGCATGGGCATGTTGGGCACAAGTAAGCAAGTAAGGCTAGCCGTGTGAGCTCAAATTATGGTGCATTGCTAGCTTGAAAGACCAAGCCATGGATTGGGCATGGCTTGGGATGCAGGCAAGGAAAAATTAAGTGTTGTGGTTTTATAAGGNCAAAAAAAAAAAAAACTATCCTTCTAAACAGTACCGTTATTCCGAATAGATAAACTATATTGTGCTCTTTCCGATTGCTTTTTGGAACATGCAGATGCACTGGTCTATCCTAACTTGTTCACGGGGCTTTGTTTGAACATATTCAGAATACCAATACAAATACCAATAGTAATAGTGAGGGAACCAAAAATTTTGTTTAGAATGGATACTTTATTCAAAAATTTAATTTTTTTTCTCTTAATCAATGAAAATGAAATAATATATTTAAATTTCTGACATTATATTTAATATTTAGAGATTCATAAAATTCAAAAATTATATAACCTCGATAAATATAACGTATACAAAAAAAAAATGACTAATTACAACCCTTCACAATAAATGAGACTTATCACATAAAAGATGGTATAATGTTTTTCTATTAACCAATCAAACTATTAGTTATTGATCGCTCATTTAGTTTTTTAACCTATTTTTCATAGTTTCTATAACTTTAAAAATGAGTTTGACTTGTTAAAAATTTATCTAGATGTATCTATAAAGTGNTTGATCGCTCATTTAGTTTTTTAACCTATTTTTCATAGTTTCTATAACTTTAAAAATGAGTTTGACTTGTTAAAAATTTATCTAGATGTATCTATAAAGTGTGTTAAAAAATTCATAATTATGTAACTATATAACTATACTAATTAATAGAGTAAACACACTTAAATATATTTATAACAATTTAAAATATACATAATTAAGTAATGTTTTTTTCTGCCATATATATAATAATAGAGTGAACACACTTAAATATACTTATAATAATTTAAAATATACATAATTAAGTAATGTTTTTTTCTGCCATATGTATGAATGGTATGGAAGAATTTGAAAATCTTTTCCTCATAAAGATTTTCTTCTCTTTGTTCCTTCTAGATATTCGAAGGAGATTCCCGATGCATATGAGAGACTTCTTCTTGATGCTATTGAAGGTGAAAGGAGACTTTTTTATTAGAAGTGACGAACTGGATGCTGCTTGGGCGCTCTTCACGCCTGTATTGAATGAGCTGGAAGGGAAGAAAATAGTTCCTGAGTACCACCCATATGGGGGTCGAGGTCCTGTGGCCTTGGGAGCCCACTATCTTGTGATCAGTAATAGATTGCTTTGCCATTGCCAGAAGACTTGCACAATGGTGGTGGGAATGACTCCTTGATTATAAGATCTTAAGATGGGAGGTGGAGAGTTTGAAACTTTGAAAAGGGTAGTTGGGCGATTCTTCTCTGTGTGAGTTCTGGTTTTTCCTTTTCTGTCTTCATCCTCTTCTACATACCTATGTACCTTCACTTTCCAGGCTAGAAAATTCAGGATTTTCATTGATGATGACTCGTGTATTTGAATTAACTAATGATCATTTTTTTACCATTTACCATAGAAACGGTCTAATTATTTTCGAATAAATTATNGGGTAGTTGGGCGATTCTTCTCTGTGTGAGTTCTGGTTTTTCCTTTTCTGTCTTCATTCTCTTCTACATACCTATGTACCTTCACTTTCCAGGCTAGAAAATTCAGGATTTTCATTGACGATGACTCGTGTATTTGAATTAACTAATGATCATTTTTTTACCATTTACCATAGAAACGGTCTAATTATTTTTGAATAAATTAGATTTTATCTCTTTGAAATATTACCTTTATTTCACTTTATACATTTAATTATAAAATTTTTCACATTATACCTTAAAATATCACGTTATATCTTAAAGTATTAATTTTATTTCATATAACTCAAATAAATAACGACTGTCAATTTTTTTTTACAGTAAATGAGTAATTTGTACTATCAATAAACTATTGACTATTGCACATGTGTAGGTTAAAAATTAAGAAAAATTGACAGCCGTTATCTATTGGAGTGATATGAAATAAAATTGATATTTTAGAAAATAATATGAGAAATTTTATAGTTGAGGGTAAAAAGTAAAAGAAAGGTAATAGTTCAAAAGGGAAAAGTGTAATTTACCCTTTTTTNAAAATAATATGAGAAATTTTATAGTTGAGGGTAAAAAGTAAAAGAAAGGTAATAGTTTAAAAGGGAAAAGTGTAATTTACCCTTTTTTTTTTTTTTTTTGCTGAACCCACCAAAAGGGAGAAACTTGGGCCGGCCTAATGTTCAGAATTGGGCTGATTAGATGGGCCTTGAATTACTGAATTTTGTTTGAAGATGTGGGTTGAATGAAGTAGGTTAAGCCCAGAAGAGTTNCTTTTTTTTTTGCTGAACCCACCAAAAGGGAGAAACTTGGGCCGGCCTAATGTTCAGAATTGGGCTGATTAGATGGGCCTTGAATTACTGAATTTTGTTTGAAGATGTGGGTTGAATGAAGTAGGTTAAGCCCAGAAGAGTTAAATAAGAGCGTTTCAATTGTTTTCGAAGGTGCGTGCTTTGCATGAAATTGATTTTGAGGCGCCCCACGCCACAACAGTTTTCTTAGCCAGTAGCTACGCTTCTTTGTAGCACTTGTCAATTGCGTTCCCCTCTTTTGGCGATGCATATGCTAAAGCACTAATGCTAAAGTGGTTGTGATTATTTCCTAATATATAGGGACACAATACAACTGGATACACCCACCCCCACGCCCCACTCCCACTATCGTACCCTTCTTACTCTGCTCAGCTGAATTATTCATCAATGCAAAAAAGGCGAGTGTCACTTTTCCAATAGCATGTCCTAAATCCTAGTCTACCACGTTGGTTGGATTTACAGTTATTACACAATTTTGGTGACACANACTTTTCCAATAGCATGTCCTAAATCCTAGTCTACCACGTTGGTTGGATTTACAGTTATTACACAATTTTGGTGACACAAGTACTTCGGGCATAGTACCTAACAGTATCACGTTGTTTGTTTGATTTGGTCTCATTCCGAAATCTCTTTGAAAACTGTCTACTGCCTTGCCTGTTGGTTAACAATAAACTCTCTGTAACGTCTCTACATTTTACTCTAAAAATGCGGGCCAAGACTCTTCTTATATAGCCTCTTGATGTACTAATGCTGGAAGAATCAAACTTAATCAAATTGTCTTTTTTTGAACCTATCATTATTCACTCACCAGCCTCAGAAAAACTTTGAGAAAGGAGACAGCCAACTAAACTAGCTTCATGGATCCCAATGATCTGATTCACGTATTCATTAACGTAGCAATATGGCCTTTATTTCTCGTGGCTCTGTGTTTAATCCTACCTCCTTTCTTCATTTTTAAGTACATCATACATGCAATCTACAAGTGTCTTTCGAAGGAGAACATGAAAGGAAAAGTTGTTCTCATCACTGGTGCTTCATCAGGAATAGGGGAGGTTCATAACAATCTTTCCGAAATTTCCTTCTTTTTTTTTTTTTTTGGGTATTCATGGGGCTGATTGTTTTGCATTAAATTTGAATATGCAGCAAATGGCTTACGAATATGGCAGAAAAGGAGCTGCACTGGTCATAGTTGCCAGGAGGGAGAACAAGCTACAAAAGGTTGCCGAAAGAGCTCGTGGGCTTGGATCTCCTGATGTTCTTCCTATTTGTGCTAATGTAGCCAATGTTAATGAATGCAAGCGTTTTGTAGATGAAGCCATCAATCACTTCGGCAGATGTAAGATTTGAATTTTTTTATTTATGCACCTACATAGTAATTCACATGTCTTCATCTGTTGTTCATTGAAAAATTTTGTCCCAATATGTTCAAACTTCAACTCACTAATGTGTTATAGAAAATGATCGAATACCCGTCATCAATATAGTTATTGATGTAAGTAGGAATGAGAATTCAATTACAAATTACTCTTGCCTTGGCTTATTCAATCATCTTTTGGGAGGATGCGAATTTTTTTAGACAAACTATGCGGACACATTCTGATTTTTTTTAGTAAAATGTGCTCCTGAATATGCAAATTTGACCGTAGAGGGAAGTCACTATGATGCAACAATTTGGAAGTTCGCAAAGAATGCCTGAATTTGAACGTAGAGGGAAGTCCCTGTGATGGCTAAATAACCACGCATTGCTTAGCTGCTTTTCATATTCCTACATTATTTCAGAAAAAAAATCTTATTTGCAGTGGATCATCTGGTGAATAATGCGGGAATTGTCAGTGTCTGCCCAGTTGAAGATGCACCTGATATTACAAATTTTAAGCCTATATTGGTAATCCTTTCCACAGAATAGTACTTATTCCTTGTTTCGCCCATTTTTTTGGCTAGAGTTTTTAAATATACTTAGTTTTCCTTTATTTCAAGCCTCCAGGATGTGAACTTTTGGGGGTCTGTTTATCCAACTTACTTTGCAATTCCTCACCTCAAAAAAACAAGAGGAAAGATTGTTGTAAATTCATCATCTAGTGCGTGGTTGCATCCACCAACAATGAGCTTCTACGGGGTAAAGAATCACATATGTCCCATTTAACCTGAATATGCTATATCTCTGTTTGAAGCGGTTCTTGTGGTTTTCAGGCAAGTAAAGCAGCATTGATAAGCTTCTATGAGGCAATGAGAGTTGAATTGGCTCCTGAAATAACAATAACCATTGTAACTCTCGGATTTATAGACTCAGAAATGTCCCAAGGAAAACAGTTATCCAAGGAAGGTGTTGTTCAAGTGGATCGAAAACTGAGAGATGTAAGATATATTGCTGTTTAAGTTTTAGTACAAAAATTACTATTTCTCATGCTTGCACAAGTGGATCATAATATAATTTGTATCCATCATGAGATGGATTTTCAGATTATCGATTGATCAAGTAACAGTTGTGTTACAGGTTGTTGTTGGGGCAATGCCAGTGATGAGTTCCAGCACTTGTGCAAAATCCATTGTTGAAGCCTCATGCCGGGGAGAGAGATATGTGACCGAACCAAAATGGTTTAGTGTGTTCATCATGCTAAAGAGTTTGTGCCCCGAACTGGTTGAGTTGTATTACCGGACCTTTCACTTCAAGCCAATCGTTTCAGGGAGAAATGTTACCAACAATATGGTAACTCCGCTGCTGCTGAATAAAGCAGACTAAGCTTTTGATATGTTTAGATGTTCCAAGTGAATTTCCTTTTGGGTTTCCAGATTAAGTGTCAGATAATGAAGTTGATGTGTCAACAATAGTAGGCAAATTAGAGAGTTCAATTCCTCATGGGTATGAATGCATCCCATTTCAAGGAGCATTTTAGTTTTGCAGAGACATTCGTTGTCGTAGTAGGATTTTGATACATAAAGTGCTTGGTGTTCGCAAATAATTTTATGGCATGCAGGTTTTATGAAATGGTTACACAAAGTCACTCAAATCTTAAGCTAACACAATCTTTAATTGTGATCTTCATAATGATCACAACTAGCCAGAAATAAGACAAAGACTTCATTCTTTTTCAGAACGTTAACGAATATGACGATCAATACATCAGAACACCAGTTTGGACTGAACCAACCTCCCCCATTCCATTGCGAGGCATTCACAAACATAGAAGAGCTTTTGTCCCTATCTCCCGATTAGTCTGTGGTACAGGTTGTTATTTGTTTCCAAGTATAATGTCTCGTTGAGAAATATTTCCACGTATGGGAGGGGCCCGAGTTGGAAATCATGCTAGTAAGCAAGATCACATATTAAAAGTTGATTTGCATGAGGACACCATAATCATCAAAATTAATATTAATAAAAGTTATTGGATAATGACACCACGTACCAATGGTGACGTGATGGCACAACTAAACCCAATATTTAGTCATTTCCCCGGTGTATATGTCATGTGTTGGATAAGAAGTTGTGGCAAGTGGCAATAGTTTTACGTGTCAACCGGACCCAGCTCCTCATCAAAGAAGAGGGTTTGTTGAAGTAGTTAAAAAACTAATCTTTATCCAAATATGATCTGAGATCGAGTTTCATCAACTGCATCGTCTGCCCCATTGCCTTAATTTGTTCCTCGCCCCACCATATGTTGTTTATGTCATTTTAATTGGTTTGCCTTCCACCTTTCATTCGCCTATTCACCTCTATAGACATATGTTGGTGGGCAGTTAAATTATCCCTATCATTTTATTTTTGACAATAATTAATGTGAATATTTCATAGGAAGAATTGTATCCAACATGGTGAGTGCTGATGGAGAGAGACTGGCGTTGATCAGAGTTACCAGAATCTGATAGTGTGTCTGCCATTGCTGATATAGCTGATTTATCACAGATGCACACTGAATTATGCCATCAACGTATCCTAGTAAAGAATGAGCACACAAGATTGCTGTGATTTGGTACTTGTAGTTGACGAAATTAGAAGAATCCAATCTTATAGAAATCGTATTACGGATGTTGGAGAATAATAAAATTGGAGATTGCGAGACAGAATTTAGAGAAATGGAAGAAGAAGAAGCAGTGGTAGATGTAGAATTTGTTGAAGCTGAATAAGAATTCATTCTTGTTGAGACACAGATCTCTTTTCACAGCTCTAATACCATGAAGAATGTCAAGAACAGAAGCTATAAACACACACCAGAAGAAGAAAAGTTGAAGAAGAAGACGACCTTTGAAAACATAGGGTGAATATCTCATTTCATTATTATGTAAAGTGCTTACCTAAGAGTATTTATAGTGAATCACATGATACCTCTATCATAGTGTGATAAATTGTAGTATTTCCATTCAGGATTCAAATTTAAATTCAAATTTGAGTAAAAAATTTGATTTAATATAGAGTATTCAAATGGATAAATTCAAATATCTATTCAAATCTTTTAAAAATTGTCCAAAAACTCATTTTTTTATATCATTCAAATCATGATATTTGATAAAATAAATGAAACTTTCATATCTCTCCATAAATAAATAATTCAAAAAAATGAATATATATATACAACACTACATGAGAATAAAGAAACTATCTTATAATTCTAAAATTGTTCTAATTCCACATAATTTTTTATAAATCCAAATAAAGAAAAAGGGAAAAAAATATAACTATTTTGACGTGGGTTCAGGATAAGTTTGAGTTTGCTTTACTTTGGGTCTAAAATAAGTTTCATTTTAATTTGATATAAATTTAAGTGTAAGGTTGGAAAAGTTTTTTAAGCAATTTTGACTCAAATTTAAATTTGAGTCTATATCTATTTATATCTATAATACTTATAAATGTCGGTCTCTGCGAAAAACTTTTGATTTCTTATTTTATCCATAATTAATATAATAAAGTTAATTATATCCACATATATACTTTCATCTAATTTTTATTTATTACTCTTATTTGACTTTTAACTTATTTTGGACTCTTTTATAAGGACTGACAAATTCTTTTGAACTCATTTATTAGTAGTATAGTTACATATAAAAAAAAAAGTAGTTACATACAATTTTTTAAATCTATATGAAGATGTGAAATCCTATATATATTAAATTATTTTTGATTTTATATTTTATCCCTAATTATTGTAATAAAATCAATTATACTCACCTATATATTTTTATCTAATTTTTTATTTTTTTACTCCTATTTGACTTTCAACTTATTTTGAACTCTTTTATAAGAACTTCTAAATTCTTTTGAACTCATTTATTAGTAGTACAGTTACATACAATTTTTTATATTTATACGAAGAAGTAAAGTCCTAATTAGCTATTAGGACACAAGGTAATTAATAATTCTGTAATTAGGTATTAGCTCCTCAACCGACTTCAACTGACTTTCATAGCTGGGCTTTCCCTGTGATGAATCATTACTGCAAATAGGTTAATAGTTGTATCATTTATTGACAGTCTTAAAACATCTTGGTCTCAAATTTTCAAAGAAATGTCAAGAATGGCCTGATTATTAATGTATTACCTTGTTGTAGGCTATCTTATTGCATGGAGTGATGAGATTAGATACACGTCATTAACTAGAATAGTTTCTCAAGAGATGAGGGTAAATATCTGAGTGTCAAAGTAATTAACCTAGTCTCCGAAGAGATAAAATTGTATGCATCAGAGTGTTGCCACAAAATTACGCCGGTATCAAAACGTAGGTTTCCTGTTGTAAGTTTCAGCTATCCTTCTAAACAATACGGTTATACCGAATAGGGGAAAGCACCTTGTGTTCTTTCCGATTGCTTTTTGGAGCATGCAGATGCACTGATCTACCCTAACTTGTTCACGGGGGCTTGTTTATCGTGCTGACTATATCCTTTTTTTTTATTCGTTTGAATGAAGGTGAATCAAGTCTACAACATTTTCAGAATTCCAATAGTAGTACAAGATATGTAAGAATTTAGTGCTTTCTTACAATAAGCTTCGTGCTATCTTTTCTGGCCATGAATTTTTTTTTAAATATCCCTAATTGTGATATTACTTCTTTGACTAATCATAGCATGCCAGATATATTTATGCTATCGGAGAATTTATAAATATTTCCTCATAAAGAGTTTATTCTCTTTTTTCTTCTAGATGCTTGAAGGATCAAGATTTGTTACCCACTTAGCTGGTTGGCATGCAGGTGCCTCAGCCCTGTTAGGGGTGGCAATTTTTGACACGATACGATAAATCTAACACGAACACGATACAAATAAATGAGTTTGGGTTAGTGGGTCGTGTTCCGATTCAACTCACTCTACCTGAAATTGACCCAATTAACCCGTATATTTAATCGGGTTGACACAAACCCGCTTAACCCGTTTTTCAACTCAAGTAACCCAACACAATATAAATGCATTTAGTTGTTGGATCCCTAACCCTAAATTCATTTCACATCTCATACCTCACATTTACTCTGCTTCTCAATCGCCTCTCCATCCACTTCACTGGTGGTCACCACCGCCTCCGTTTCGCTTTCGTAGGCCCTCACTGACCACCGCCAAACCACCAACTAGACCAGGGTCTCTCTTTCTCTCTTTCACATACACAGAGATCTGCACACAAATTTGGAACCGATCTTCGAATTGGTTCTTCTCTCTCTTTTTCTCTGCATATATATATATATATATATGTGTGTGTGTGTATATGTGTGTGTGTGTGTGTGGAGTTTGATTTGTGTTCGATTTGATTTGACTGTACTTATGAGTTAACCAAATGAAGAGATGATGTGGGAGGAGCTGTGATGATTATGTGTGATTGGTCTCATTCGTCACAGCATTCATATCTTTATACATGAAGATGTTGTTCCTTCTCTGATACGAGATTGTGGGTGCTGCCAAGATGTTATATATGTGTAAGCATATGTATGTATATCTATGTATGTGCTAAAAGTTGACATGAGGGGATCAATTGATGATCAGAAGCATAGTTCAGATGATAATCTATATGATTATAAGTTTTGAATGTCTTTCGCTCCTACTTGATGAAGCCAATTGTACGTATTGCTTGCACAAAAATCAAATTTTTAGTATTTGTCCTAGGGACACAACAGGTTTGGTTTCTAACGAGTCTTTTTGTGTAGAATTTTATGGATTGGATCGTGTCGGGTCGAGTTGTATTAGGTGGGTGGGTCGTTTTTACTCGGACACGACCTGTGTAAATTTTGGGTCACGGGTTATGTCAGGTTAGTCATGTTTTGAATCAGGTCATGTTCGTGTCCAAAATACCTAACCTGTTTAACTCGCAAGTCATGTTTGGGTTGATGTGTCTTGAATCCAAACTTGATTTGACACGATACGACACGATTGCCACCCCTAACCCCCGTGCCTTAGCCGAAGTGGGGGTGTGGCCAAGCAACTCCTTTGTGCAAAGTTGGCTTCCTAAGAACTTGGTTGGATACTTGGTTTGGTGTCAAAGGTATTCGACAAAAGTTCAAGTGACATGCAACAACTATGCCCCGGACTCTCGTTGTTATGACTCTTCGGTTTGAAAGATGTCGGTTGTTGTCACTAAAGTTTTGCTCACTAAGGCTATTATAGAGGGGGGTGCTTCGCAAAGAGGTGTCAGACTGGCTTTCCTAGAGACCCCTATGCCCCCTAACCTTGGCACCCCAAAGTAAAGCACGATCCTAACAAACGTTTGCCATGGGGGTAGGCAAGGCATTCCAAAGTTCAAGACCCGAGATATGGGATTGATGTTCGGTAGGACTCATCGTTTATGTAAGCCTCATGCATGGTTGAGGAAGGCAGCACATGCATGGGCATGTTGGGCACAAGCAAGCAAGCAAGGCTAGCCGTGTGAGCTCAAATTATGGTGCATTGCTAGCTTGAAAGACCAAGCCATGGATTGGGCATGGCTTGGGATGCAGGCAAGGAAAAATTAAGTGTTGTGGTTTTATAAGGAAGGCATGTGCACATCATGTGAGACAGTTCTAAGCAATTGAGGCATGTGTGATAGAGTAGTATACTAAAAGTTTATTTTTTCTAGTAAAATTCATTTTATTAATTAATAGAAGTTTGTTCTTTCCATTTTATTGAGAATTTGTATAGATAAAATGTTTCCCTTATATTTAATATTCATGTGTGTCCTATATTTTATAATAAAGATAAGGTGTGTAGAGTTTGACTTACGCGTAGAAGATCAGATTATCGTATCTTTATATAATATGAGTATAGGTTGACAATTCTAAATGAAATTGGACACACCATCAGTATGATTATAATGTAATATTCTAACATAATTTGTCTTAACTGTAGGAGACTGTTTGATGTATCGGATTATTGCACTAGTACACTTTGTGTATTGAACAGACTCATGTTGAGGTTATTATCTTTTACTGATTCAATAAGATAATAAATATATCATGATTATTATGATTGTTTATGCTCTTAGTCCTAAAATATTTAATTGTTACGTACATATAATGTTTATCACTTTAATTCATTAAAGGGTGAGATTCATATTGAGTCAATAAGCTCAATAAATTGGGAGACAGTGTTATTTATATGGTAAAAATTAATTATTAAATGAAACTACGTCCTATTATTTAAATGGGTTGATAATGTCTTATTGAGGAAGTTTATAAGTTCTGTCCAAGTCAAACCATATAAGTGGATTTAATTATCTGACATGACAAATAAGTTGAATAGTAATGTCTAAAGGAATAAAAGAAGTCAATTAAATATAATTGTCAATAATTTATTTAATAGATAGACATCTGTAATCTTAAATGTTTGGAGATTATTAAACATATAATAATAAAGAGCTCGAATATATTTTTGAGATAATGTTTAGGATATTAATAATAAGTTTTTAATTGACTGACTTATTATTAATAGCCTGTAGCATGTTTGTTCTGGGTTGAACATAGGAATCTTAAGCCCATTAGAAGTTTGGTCATTATTTCTCCTTAGGGTTTTTGTCGTAGTCTATATATAGACGTCTAGAGTTTCTAATTCATCATCTATTTTTTACTCACGATTTTTAAGAGAGGTTGAAAAGGAGAGCAGGAGTTTGGAGGTTTTAACAGTCCACATTGCATCTGAATTCTAACGTTAGGTGATATACAATAGAAGGTCGTGAGGTTTGTTGAGCAGTGTTCCGCGTTCGTTGTTAGGTTTTGCGTTCGTACTGAGACGAGATCAATCCTAAGCGATCTCGAATGTAAACCTTAATTTCGCCTTGTATGGTTTTAAATTTTTTTTTTGATATTCAATACATACGTGTTACCAATGATTTTTGGGATTTTTGTTCCAACAATGTGCACTGCATATGGTGGCAGTTTCGAGTGAATGCTGGCATGTGCAAAGCATGCAGGGTGGTTCCTTGTGGTTGTTGGCATGTGTACAACATGCAGAGCGGCTATAAGCAATCGATGAATAAGTTAACTGACAATTACAACTGTTTGTGGCATGATTAACAATTTGTGGGGAGTGGCAAAAGGAATTAGCCATGTTCAGTGGATTGGGGGGGAATGTCAGAATCACCCACAATCCTTGAGGGTGAATCTGATTGGTGTTTGCAATTCTAGCAGTTGAGGATGTCAACTACATGACTGAGTTCGCCAGAGTTGGATGATGCTAGTATTGCCTAGACAATTGGGCTTGTAACTGTCATTGTATGCTTTAAATACACAACCTAGGGTCTATAGTGAGCCAAGAGAGTTTGGACACATTTTGTAAGGAGACCCCTAATTGAAATCCTTTAAGCTTGTTGAGAAATAAACAAATTTGGTTGTTTTGGCTTGCAGTCTTGTGTGCTTGTTGTATTTTGATTCTTGCCCATATGTTGTTTGACATAGTGCTTCTGAGAGCGATTATGTGAGTTTGGCTAAAACTAAGTGTTGAATCTTGGTACCATCGTAAGGCAAAAATTTGAGTGAAATTTGACTTCCGTGACAAGATTCTTGAATGCTATTGAAGGTGAAATGAGACTTTTTATCCGATGTGTATTTGTATTCGATATGTATTGAATATGGATATATATCAGGTATAGTTAGATATATATCAGATACTTTTATGTAATTAAAAATTAATAAAATATTTTTTGTTTCGAGATACAATGTGAGAGGGATATGAACAAAAGAATTGCAATAAATACGCCAGAAAATACAAGAAAAAATTCCCCACAACCAAAGCCAATGTCGAAAAAAGTCCAAACTTTGAGATTTATAAAACATGAAAAACAATACTCAGAACCTATAGCATGACAAAAAATTTTCACCAGAATGTGAATGTCCATGGCAAGTCTTCAATGAGCATATAGCTATGGCAGAGTTCGATCAATAGAGTAGCAAAGCCTCACCAAAGACGATAGTTGTGGCGGACCTCTTGGCAAATCACCTCCTCTATTTTCAGGATTCAATTCACAAAGTTTGAGTCGAATCATTGTTTAAGTCAAACTCCAGATTCAGATCCAATAAACTTAGGTTTCATCGTATAAGTCAACTTCCAGATTCAGTCAGACCAATTCAGATCCAGTAAATTGAGGTCCACGTGATGAGAGGGAGAGACCATGTGATGAACAGCAGCTGGATTTCTGGATATCGACGTAGAGGCCATGTGCTCTTTCCTATCAAATGTGGAGATGGAAGGAGTTTGTGCTCAGCTGGCCACCTACTGTGACCATGTACTTTAATCTAAGTCTTTTTAAAGGTGATACTATTACATATTTTTTCCAAGGAAAAAAAACTGTTAATATCTATATAATAAGTTAGATAGGTGTTTGAAATTTTATCTCTATATATTTTTCTCCTCTAAAATATCACATCATTCATTTTTATCACACATTATTTAGTATTTTATTAATTTATAATTTAACATAACTTTTATTGTAGACATTTTGCATACGTGATAGTGTACACATATTGAAATTTTTTTGTTAAATTACCTATTTTGAGAAAATTTTGTTAATTTTTTAAAGAAAATAATTGGTAAAATTAATTTTAAATGATGTAATCAAAGAAATGAAATAAGGAAAAATTATTATTCAATATAATGAGATCGATTTTTGGCCACAAGTTATGACTTTATATATAACTGTTCTTGGAAAGGGTGAGCAACTTCTGTCTAATCTATATAATAAAACATATAAGAATTTGAATTTTATCCCCTGTACATTTTTCCTTCCAACACTATCACATTNCTTGGAAAGGGTGAGCAACTTCTGTCTAATCTATATAATAAAACATATAAGAATTTGTATTTTATCCTCTGTACATTTTCCCTTCCAACACTATCACATTACTCATTTCTATCACATGTTCAATCATTTAATATTTGATTAATTTATAGTTTAACATAATTTTTATTTCAAACATTATCCATACACAATAATATACACATGTTAAGAAAATTTTGTCAATATTTTTAAGAAAATAATGTGTAAAAATAAATTTTGAATAATGTAATCAAATAAATGTATGACATAAAAATTATTATTTTATATAATAAGATTAATTGTTTGAATAATGTTTTATCGTGCATTCAGANATGTAATCAAATAAATGTATGACATAAAAATTATTATTTTATATAATAAGATTAATTTTTTGAATAATGTTTTATCTTGCATTCAGGCATGAGTTATAACGAGTATATTATTAAATTAGAAGTATAATATTAATATTTTACAATATAAATATTAAAAAAATATTTAACTATAAATGCATCTTAATCATACCTGTATCCTAAATTTTTAAATTTTCCTTGTATCACTGTATATGTATTGTGTTATATCCGTGTCTCATATTTTATAACAATAAACTCTCTGTAACGGACTCTACATTTTACTCTAAAAATGCGGGCCAAGACTCTTCTTATATAGCCTCTTGATGTACCAATGCTGGAAGAATCAGACTTAACCAAATTGTGTTTTTCTAACCTATCTATATTCACTCACCAGCCTCAGAAAAATTTTGAGAAAGGAGACAGCCAACTAAACTAGCTTCATGGATCCCAATGATCTGATCACGTATTCATTAACGTAGCAATATGGCCTTTATGTCTCGTGTCTCTCTGTTTAATCCTACCTCCTTTCTTCATTTTTAAGTACATCATACTTGCAATCTACAAGTGTCTTTCGAAGGAGAACATGAAAGGAAAAGTTGTTCTCATCACTGGTGCTTCATCAGGAATAGGGGAGGTTCATAACAATCTTTCCGAAATTTCCTTCTTTTTTTTTTTTTTTGGGTATTCATGGGGCTGATTGTTTTACATAAAATTTGAATATGCAGCAACTGGCTTACGAATATGGCAGAAAAGGAGCTGCACTGGTCATAGTTGCCAGGAGGGAGAACAAGCTACAAAAGGTTGCCGAAAGAGCTCGTGGGCTTGGATCTCCGGATGTTCTTCCTATTTGTGCTAATGTAGCCAATGTTAATGAATGCAAGCGTTTTGTAGCTGAAGGCATCAACCACTTCGGCCGATGTAAGATTTTCATTTTTCTATTTATGCGCACCTACGTTACTACGTAGTAATTCACAGGTCTTCCATCTGTTGTTCACTGAAAAATTGTCCCTATATGTCCAAACTTCAACTCACTAACGTGTTACATATATATATACTAGTGATACCCTCTGACTTAAGTTACTGTACATTAAATTATGACACTATACATGCATTAAAATGTGTGTGTTGGAGTGTATGTATGTATGTGTAGTTGTGTGTTGTGGAATATGTGTATTGGATTTTGGAGGAAAAGTGTGTTGGGTATGTAAAATTTTGTAGGGAAAATATACTCCCCATAAATTCAGACACTTATCTAATTTGTATTATATAGATAGAAAATGATTGAATACCCCTATTAATATATTTATTGATGTAAGTAAGAATGAGAACTCACTTACAAATTACCCTTGCCTTGGAATATTCTATCATCTTTTGGGAGGAGGAGATTTTTTTTTTAGACAAATTTTAAAGACACATTCTGATTTTTTTTAGTAAAATGTGGTCGTGCATACGTATGCAAATAATATGTAGACATCTAATGATGCAAGAATTTGGAAGTTAGCAAAGAATGCCAGAATTTGAGTGTAGAGGGAAGTCACTGTGATGGATAAATAACCACGCATTCCTTTAATGCTCTTTATATTCCTACATTATTTTAGGAAAAAATCTTATTTGCAGTGGATCATCTGGTGAATAATGCGGGCGTTGTCAGTGTCTGCCCAGTTGAGGATGCACCCGATACTACAAATTTTACGCCAATAATGGTAATCCTTTCCGCAGAACACTACTTTTCCTTGCTTTGCGCATTTTTTGTGGCTATTAGAGTTTTTAAATGTACTCAGTTTTCCTTTGTTTCAAGCCTGCAGGATGTGAACTTTTGGGGTTCTGTTTATCCAACTTACTTTGCAATTCCTTACCTCAAAAAAACAAGGGGAAAGATTGTTGTCAATTCATCGATTAGTGCTTGGTTGCATCCACCAACAGTGAGCTTCTACGTGGTAAAGAATCACATCATGCTCTGCTCCATTTATCCTCAGTCTGTTATATATCTCTGTTTGAAGCGGCTCCTGTGGTTTTCAGGCAAGTAAAGCAGCATTGATAAGCTTCTATGAGGCAATGAGAGTTGAATTGGCTCCTGAAATAACGATATCCATGGGTTTATAGACTCAGAGATGACTCAAGGAAAACGCTTATCCGAGGAAGGTGTTGTCCAAGTGGATCGAAAACTGAAAGATGTAAGATATATTGTTGTTTAAGTTTTAGTACAAAAATTACTATTTCTCATGCTTGCACAAGTGGATCATAATATAATTTGTATCCATCATGAGATGGATTCTCAGATTATCAATTGATCAAGTAACAGTTGTGTTACGGGCTGTTATTGGGTCAGTGCCAATGATGAATTGCAGCACTTGTGCAAAATCCATTGTTGAAGCTGCATGTCAGGGACAAAGATATGTGATCGAACCAAAATGGTTTAGTGTGCTCATCATGCTAAAGACTTTGTGCCCCGAACTGGTTGAGTTGTATTATTACTACCGGACCTTTCACTCCAAGCCATAGGAGAAATATTAACAGCAAAATGGTATCCGCTCCGCCGTTGCTGAATAAAGCAGACTAAGCTTTTGATATGTTTAGATGTTCTAAGTGAATTTCCTTTTGGGTTTCCTGATTTAGTATCAGATAATGAAGTTAATGTGTCAACAATAGTAAGCAAATAAAAGACTTCAATTCCTCACGGATATGAATGCACAATCATATATGAAAAGTTAATTTGCATGAGAACACCGTAGTGGTAAAAATCAATCTTATGAAAAGTTATTGAATAGTGACACCACATGGTAATAGTGATGTGATGTCACTGTTATCCTCAATACTTAGTCATCTTCTCAGTGTACATGTCATGTGTAGAATAGGTAGTTTTGACAAATAAATCAAACTAAATTAAACCAAGCATTATGTCCCTGCATTTGAGGTCGGCTATATGAATTTATCTTTATCATTCATTTCGATCATACAATATACATTTCGATCATACAATATAAGCTCATTTAAATTAAAAAATTTCGGTAGTTGTGACAAGTGCCCCCTAAAATTAAGTTCTTTGTGGCAATGTTGTTTGTACTAAACTCCTTTCCAACAAGAGAAGCTTTGCTTCTAGACNGACTTCAATTCCTCACGGATATGAATGCACAATCACATATGAAAAGTTAATTTGCATGAGAACACCGTAGTGGTAAAAATCAATCTTATGAAAAGTTATTGAATAGTGACACCACATGATAATAGTGATGTGATGTCACTGTTATCCTCAATACTTAGTCATCTTCTCAGTGTACATGTCATGTGTAGAATAGGTAGTTTTGACAAATAAATCAAACTAAATTAAACCAAGCATTATGTCCCTGTCATTTGAGGTCGGCTATATGAATTTATCTTTATCATTCATTTCGATCATACAATATACGCTCATTTAAATTAAAAATTTTCGGCAGTTGTGACAAGTGCCCCCTAAAATTAAGTTCTTTGTGGCAATGTTGTTTGTACTAAACTTCTTTCCAACAAGAGAAGCTTTGCTTCTAGACTCGTGATTCATTTTGATTTTAATTGAATAGAAACAAAAAAAAGAATGAACGAATTTAGCATTTTCTGTTTCATCACTGGACTGAATAAAAGGGAAAGACAAGTAAAAGTTTATTATTCTCCGTCTATAAATATCCTAATTTTGATGCCCAAGACCCCATAGATAGTTCGAACTGTACATGAACAATAATCAATTTTAGCCTGAATGGTTTGTAGGGGAGCCCTACCTTCACCTAAACATTACGCAAACCCCTCAATCACTACCTAATTATGACATGCTTCAGTTGTACACCCAAAGTACATAATACATCCTTTGGCATGAAATTGTTCAACAAGATCAAATCAAACTTCTTAGCTTTGAGCTTTGAGCTTACAGCACCTCAGTATACAAAATTCAAATAAGAAACTAGGGGTTGGACGGAACCTCATCCGGACAAAATCCCTCTAAATCAGGAGACGGCCAATAAAACTAAAAGAGAAACTGAAAAAAATGAACAACCAGCAATAATAAGATTCCACATCAGACCATTGGAAGCTCACCACAATCACTGATAACAACCTTCTTTCGGGGACAATCACCTCTGTCCGTCTCTTGAGACTCGATCAGCTTAACAATGTCCATGCCCTCCAAAACTTGCCCAAATACAACATGCCTCTGATCCAGCCATGGTGTCTGTCATTCAATTACACGAGATGGCATCAATTACACAGCAATGCAAACAGTAGCAAAACAAAAAACTCATAAAGAGCACAACTCCAGAAGCACATGTGAGGTGCCCCCATCACCATTAAACAATTGACAACCAAGCTCTTTATTTTAAAAGAGTTGGTCTGTGTAAAGAGGGCACTGTACAGTTTATTTCATCATTCCAGCGACAACTTGTTGGGCTTGGAACACTTCATGCAATAATCAAGTCAAAGAGTACTCAAATTTGAAAACTAGAAGTCCCACATTTTCCTATTTCTCTTCAACACTATAACTGGCATCGAGTACTCTTTTCCATTTTGCTACATAAGATCTCAGCAGTTCAATATTCACGTGATGCATAGTTATCCATTCGATTTTCTCCTCTCAAACTAAAAATAAGATCCATAATATGCAAAAAATCTAACAGTTCATTGCCATTCATAATAATTAATCTACACAATGGTACTAGNTTTCCATTTTGCTACATAAGATCTCAGCAGTTCAATATTCACGTGATGCATAGTTATCCATTCGATTTTCTCCTCTCAAACTAAAAATAAGATCCATAATATGCAAAAAATCTAACAGTTCATTGCCATTCATAATAATTAATCTACATAGCATTATATCTTTGTTTCTTTTGCTACACATACCTTAACCGTGCATATGAAGAATTGGCTTCCATTAGTATTAGGGCCTGCGTTTGCCATGCTAACAACTCCAGGTCCCGTATGGGACACTGCATATATTCAAACATTTTAAATGATTCGTGTCAACTAACCCAAACCATACTATCAGGATGGAAGGAACCCGAGGTGACAACCTTGGTTCCCAACATCCAACAAATCTAAGTAGGAATGACCACTTACACTTGAAGTTCTCATCCTTGAATGTACGGCCGTATATGCTTTTACCACCAGTTCCCTGCCACACAGAATTATGAAAAAACACAAGAATGGAGTATTAGTGGACATAGCCACCCAGCATCTCATAAACTCATGTCCAAATAAAGGAGAAAATGTTCTTTGGAAGTTACATAACTAATGTGCATGTCAAAGTATGAATATTCCTTAAATGCACAGAACTACCTAGAAAGTAAACAGCGGAATAAAATTAGTAGCAGGACAACACTCCACAGAGATCTTTATGAATGACTTCAATACAAAATTAAAATTGTATGAATTCAATGGCAAAATAAAAAAGATTAATTCAAGACAGCTTTTTGGTAGTGTTTGTGCTTCCCAAGCAAAGTTGTTAGTATCGTACGATACGCGATACGTATCGTACGATACGTTACGATACAGCCCTAAAACGATACGGATCGTAGTTATGTATCGTTTTTGCGTTGTATCGTCCGATACACGATACGTTTTTACGATACGATACGTATCGGTACGANGATGATAAAGGAAGTGAAGACTTGTTGGCATCCGATCACAATGATGATGATGATGATGCATTTTCAATTGAAATTGAAGATTGAGTTCAAAATGGATGTTAGAAATTTGGATTAGAAGTCTCTTTGGTGTTTAAAGTTTGAATTAGTGAACTATGGTTGTGAACTTTGCATTATAATAGTAGTGGATTATGTTGATAACTTGAATAGTTGGTGGAGTATTAATGAAATGCTATATTTTTTATGAGTGTATGACTTTTTTTCAAAGGTATATATATTTTTTTATTATTTATTTAAAATTGCATCGTATCTTACGATACACGATACGATACACGATACGATACAATATTTGTATCTTACGATACGCCTTCCGATACACGATTTGATAACTATGTTCCCAAGTACAATAAATAAGTACAAGCTGTGTCATGGTAATGTTCGGCCATGTCATCAAACCTATGAGGATAAATGAGATACCACAAGATGGTGTGATTAGGGCATAGGAAAGAACGGAGAATGATGTCATTGGAAAAGAAGCTACAGAAGGCAACGTTTAGAGATGGGACCAGGATGCAGCAAGAAATATGTTTACAAATACTTTCATGGGGAATATCAGTTTAAGTTCCATGAATCTGCATTGTAAAAAATCCACCATTCAACCTTGCAATACCTCAAAATACCAATCAGCAAAGCCAAAAACCTGTTGGTGGCACTTGAACGCGTTTAACACAGGTGCACAACTTCTGAAGTAGTCAACTATATTTCAACAAGGTGTAAGCCAATGGGCTCTTCCAGCATTTCACTCCTATTATGATTAATGACTCCCTCCCCACATCTGTTTGCGCCTTATGTTCAACCATTAAACTCTTTCAACTGAATCATATCTTACTAGAGCAAATTTTGGTTTGTGTACATGAGAAGGCAAGACACTGTTTTCAGTCTGCTTCTGCATTTTCATGCTTGACCGTTCAAGTCTAAACCATCGCAACATGTAACCCTGCTGTTGTTCCATTCAACTACTTCCTTAGAGCATCTTCAACAAGGTTTTGTATTTTAGATATCCAAAAATGAACTTTTTATATTTTAGCTACTCACTTTTTTAATAAATACTCCAACAGATTTTTTATATTTAAACTACTTTTTTTAAATATTATTTCTCATATCTTGTCCCCTTGTTGGGCACTATTAAAGGAAAAGAGAGAAAAAAGAGAGGAAAAGATAAAGAGTGGACAAGAGAGATGGAAAATGATAGAGAAGAGAGAATATATTATAAAATATTTATACATATTGCTACGTCTTCTACAACAAAAATATAATTTACCTACTCTTAACATCTTCTGTTAGAGCATGTTTTTTGCCTTTGAATAGCTAAATTTTAGATATTTTGGAGTTTTAGTGTTCTGTTGGAGATGCTCTTTATGATGGGAATAAGTAACATATCCGAATTTTTAGATGTGACTTGACTCCTTAATGGCAATTGAACAGAGATTGAACTCCACTAAGAAATTAGAACCATATACCACTCCCAGAGAAACGGATTAGGAAGCACAAAAGAGCTAGACATAAATGATGTGATAAATGATTGAGGTTAAGGAGAACCTACATTTCCTTTATCAAAGTCTCCACCTTGAATCATGAAATCCTTGATGACACGGTGGATTGCAGAACCTTTGTATCCAAAACCCTTCTCTCCTGATCGAGATACATTCAAATCAAAATACATTCAAAAGCTAAAAAAGGGAAAAACGTCTAGACCAATAAATTAAAAGATGAGACTATGCAACCTGTGCATAAAGCACGGAAATTCTCAGCAGTTTGGGGCACATCATCACCATACAACCCAATCACAATTCTCCCGGCAAGCTTTCCTACTGGATTCCCAATGCTTACATCAAAATACACCTTGTGGGTCACTTTTGATTGTAATGCTGCTTCCTAGAATTTGCATAACCATACATACGAAAGACTTTTTTAATCAAAATAAAAAAAGGGACACAATGTCAAGAATTTTTCTGCAACATACCTCGAAGACATTTGAACCCTAGAAAACCAAGACGCTTCGCTCAACTAGCGGCAGTATTGTACTTAAAAGGAACACTGACCTGAGCAGTGGCGAGAACCGAGCTAGAAAGTCCACCTTTTTTCCTTAATTGAATAGACGGGTTAGTCGAAGACGTCAAACGCAACGAGCCCGAGAAGAAGCTGGACGACAGCGTATCTGAAAGCAATGCACATTTTGGGAGCTTAGTAGAGGAACACGGAGGGTTGCGAATTTTGATTGGAGGGAGGCTTCGTGAGCCTGAGAGGGAGCCAACATTCGACTGCGAGAGACGAAAACGTAAATTGATGAGAAAGGGAGAAGGAGGAACAGAAAGTAATGATAGTTACAACTTACCAGCGTTGTTGCAAATGGAACTGCCATTGGAGAGAGATTGGTCGGACCTGCCCTGCCCTGTGTGCTGGAAGAAATTGAGCCCTGCTTACAGTCTTAATTGAGACAGAAACGAGGACGGAGAAAACGGATAGTCAGAGAGAATCCCTAAGGTCCGTTTGGTTAGCGTGGAAAAGACGAGGGAAAGGTGCAGAAAGTGAAGCGAACGGAAAGTAAATAAAAGAAAATTATATTTTCATGCATGCATGTATTTAATTAGTACGAAAAAATTTTAAAAAAAGTTTAAAATATTATCCTTCTTTGGAAAAAAGAAAAGTTATAAAAAAAATTTCTTAATTTTCAAGATTATTCTTAAGTATTTTAATTCGGTCTAAAGAAGAAAAATATATTTTTTATTATTCAAATTTTAAAAAAATTGGCTCCTAACGTAATTCAGAAATAAAATTTGACTTGAATCTCTAAACTAAATTATATAATTAATTTAATTTGTACATATTTTTTAAAAATTAATAATTAAATGAATATTTTAAGAAAAATATGGATAAAATTAAAAGTTAAGTTATTGAATACAATTTTTTTGTTTTTTCTTGTGTTTTTTACAAGAAAAAAAAACTAGTTAGAAGTGAAAAAATCTAAATATAAAATAAAATTATTTTTTCTTTCATTTTTTATTTCATGTTAAATAAACTCATGTAAATTTTAAATTTTTATCTTTCTTGCTAATCAAACGGATCCCAAGTGTTGGTGTCTTCTCCAAAAATGCAATGGCTCCAAAAACACAATATGGCGTCGCCCGGGTTCGACGNAGAAAACGGATAGTCAGAGAGAATCCCTAAGGTCCGTTTGGTTAGCGTGGAAAAGACGAGGGAAAGGTGCAGAAAGTGAAGCGAACGGAAAGTAAATGAAAGAAAATTATATTTTCATGCATGCATGTATTTAATTAGTACGAAAAAATTTTAAAAAAAGTTTAAAATATTATCCTTCTTTGGAAAAAAGAAAAGTTATAAAAAAAATTTCTTAATTTTCAAGATTATTCTTAAGTATTTTAATTCGGTCTAAAGAAGAAAAATATATTTTTTATTATTCAAATTTTAAAAAAATTGGCTCCTAACGTAATTCAGAAATAAAATTTGACTTGAATCTCTAAACTAAATTATATAATTAATTTAATTTGTACATATTTTTTAAAAATTAATAATTAAATGAATATTTTAAGAAAAATATGGATAAAATTAAAAGTTAAGTTATTGAATACAATTTTTTTGTTTTTTCTTGTGTTTTTTACAAGAAAAAAAAACTAGTTAGAAGTGAAAAAATCTAAATATAAAATAAAATTATTTTTTCTTTCATTTTTTATTTCATGTTAAATAAACTCATGTAAATTTTAAATTTTTATCTTTCTTGCTAATCAAACGGATCCCAAGTGTTGGTGTCTTCTCCAAAAATGCAATGGCTCCAAAAACACAATATGGCGTCGCCCGGGTTCGAACCGGAGACCTTCAGTGTGTTAGACTGACGTGATAACCAACTACACCACGACACCTACTTGTTTGTTATTTTACCATTTATTTTATTTAAAGTAATTTGATCAATAAAGAAGACTTGATGCTGTTAATGCGAGCTAAGTTACCTCAAATGAGCTTGTTTTTTTGATGTCAAACAAATTATCTACTCCATAACGTGATTATACTACACCACTCTTTGCTATACAAACGTGAGAGACAGGAAAAAAAAAAAGAGTGTATTCCAAATGCAACTTAAAGTCACGGTCCAATTTGTGTTGTGCGACCATCAAGCTTACCAGTTACACTGCTCCTGCATCTTATTTCAAAAAAATGAAAGAACAAAGAAGAAAAGAAAAGAGGTACAAATTGACTTGCTTGGATTTTCTCTTTCCTTGTAAGTTTTCCAAAGCCACAACATAATTCAATCCCACATCCCCATTTGAACCCAAACCATGCCTTCATGAACAATAGCAGGTACAACACAAAGCAAGCCACTGGTCCCACACCACCCCAACCCCGGAAAAAAGATAAAAAGCATGTAAGACAACTTGCAGTATACAATCAGACAATACCATCTCCCACAACCACTATCAACTTGAATGCCTCAGGACGAACTCCTCTTTCTTTTTTCCAGTGGCCATGTCGCTATTCCTGAGGCTGATACTGCTGGGGCCGGTCCATTGGTCCTTGCCACAGCAAAGGTCAGGAAAAAGTCTTACAACCTTCTGGAATCATCATCTAACTTCAAACAGACCATCTCTCAAAAATATTAACTATCTGAACGGCAGGGGAAGTTCTACATTGAACCCATCTACTCTCGAGTGAATGAAAAACAATAACGACGCAACCACAATAACTTTATTTCCTGTCCTGTCAAACAATTCGCATGAAGAATGTTGTGATGGTACATTTGAAACCCAGTGGAGGCAAATTATTCGCATGTATGATTCTTTGCATTGATTCATCTGTTCTTAAAAAATCATTAGCCTATACAAGTTTTACTGACCACCTTACCCCTCTAATTGGCTTTGATTTCTATATCTACACGGCTACACCAGCCTCTCTATCACCCCTACATCATAACAAACGAGATGCAGATGGGGTAAAATCAAACAAAAAGAAGACTCATTTCGAAAAGCTTTACACCAAAGGGAACCTGTACAAATGATAAGAACCTATGCTAATCATTACTCGTCTATGTGTTGGATCTCACCCATCATTATGCGATTACTTGTAACCTTGAACCCAAGAAGAGCAGGATCAATTTGTTTCCCTTTCTTTCCTTTCTTTTTGCCACTTTTGCCTCCTTGTGTTCCATCTGATGAATCCAAAGCAGCTGCTTGACCATCTGGCAGTGCTGCCTTCTTAGCATTGCTTTTAAGCATATCACTGAATGATGTCTCTGAGACATCAGTATCACCTAGAGAAGGGGTATGTCTGAAACGCAGATCTTTCTTCCCAGATGGCATAATATCAGAGACTTGGTCTGCTGAATTTCCTCCTGTGTCCCTTCTTCTTCCTAATAGATTCAAAATTAGTCAAATCATGATCTGATGAGAAGAACACTCCAAAAAGGGTCATTAAAAAAATGCAAACAATTTACAAGTTCCTCTACCCAATCCACTCTCCATTGACACACACGTTAGGCAAAATGCTTGCAATTGAAATACAGATTTTCGGCAGAAGATAATGATTCAAGAGGACCTATGCTCCAAATTGGTAGGGTTCGTTATTCACCAACATGTATAATAGCTTAACAACATATTATACCTTCTGAAGGTAACATACTCGGAGGGTTTTTCCCCCTGATGACTGGGTCAGAGGCCGGGTCAGACAACCCTTCCTGGGATGACGATGTCTGTGAAACAGGAGGACGTTTCAGTAAAATATTCTCTGGCCTTTTAGATTGTATAGCTGGCACCCTATCAAAAGAAAGCCAAAATTGAGAACTGCATACTAATAATGTAAAATACACATATAAGTTTACATCATCACAATTGGTTTTATGTTGTTGTCTTACAGAAAAATTGCACCCCATTGAAATTCTATAGTGATTTTACTTGTCAATTCGTAGAAATAATAATACCACTACTAAGTAATGAGATTGTAATTCTACTACTCTTTCAAGATTGGCTGGATCTACCACCTACTATAGATAGAGGTAGAAAACATGGTAATATTTCAGATACTCCTCTCTTATGAAATTACACTNACCAACATGTATAATAGCTTAACAACATATTATACCTTCTGAAGGTAACATACTCGGAGGGTTTTTCCCCCTGATGACTGGGTCAGAGGCCGGGTCAGACAACCCTTCCTGGGATGACGATGTCTGTGAAACAGGAGGACGTTTCAGTAAAATATTCTCTGGCCTTTTAGATTGTATAGCTGGCACCCTATCAAAAGAAAGCCAAAATTGAGAACTGCATACTAATAATGTAAAATACACATATAAGTTTACATCATCACAATTGGTTTTATGTTGGTGTCTTACAGAAAAATTGCACCCCATTGAAATTCTATAGTGATTTTACTTGTCAATTCTTAGAAATAATAATAACACTACTAAGTACTGAAATTGTAATTCTACTACTCTTTCAAGATTGGCTGGATCTACCACCTACCATAGATAGAGGTAGAAAACATGGTAATATTTCAGATACTCCTCTCTTATGAAATTACACTAACCACCCTTCCAAAAAATGCTTAACCCCTTGAAGTAAAAAATATTGTTGACAGTGACCCATCTTCATCTTCATCCCAAAAAACTAAAATGATAATTATTAAAAATTACAAGCACTGAGCCACCTCCCAAACTATCCTTTGCAGCACATAATCAATATCTATAGAACTATAGATGCTTCCATACAAAGCACGTTCAACCGGATAAATCGTCTAACCCAAGGATAGCTATAATGTCCTGAAGTTCTTTGTAACCTTGACAAACAGGGTGAGAGATCATAGCAATTCTACAACAGATCTAGACAAATGACCCTGTTTAGAGAGTAAATAGCATTCGATCAGTGAGAATGACCTAGGATACCTTGAGTCTCAAATTATACAGATACACATGTACCTTCCCCCTGAAAATTTTACAAAACCGTTGAAATTAAAATTAGAGGAGAAAAAAAAAAATCTGTCCCCCTCTGCCATCCCACTCCCAACTCTCCCCCTTCTCTCTCTTATTTATCAACACAAATGATCTCCCACATGAAGCTGTCAAAACTTTTTATTCTCAATATA